GAAAAAAAAAATAATAATAATAATTGAAATTTTATCAAACAGAGTAATAGGAACAGACTTAACTTAGCAGTCACAGTATATATATTCCCGATCGTGTAAAATGAGAGAGAACATAAACGAATGCGCCATACTGTATCATTTACTTGTTAGATTAATTAATTATATATATATATATATATATATATATGTATATATATAGATATATATGTAATGTCAATTTAAAAAGACTTTAGTTTAAAGAGACTGGAGAGATGCTACTTGCTTTATGCGGTGTGATACACACATGTAACGCATGTATGAACTTAGCATGATAACATCTATTGCGCGCGCGACAGATACTCGTCTCGCGCAATGTGCGCGAAACAAAAGAGTAGTGCAAGAAACCGCTGCTTATTGTTATAACGTGTTATAACGTATTGTCACGTATTATAACGAACGGTAGTGAAAGAAGCATTAGTGTTTATATAGAAAATACAATGGGAAGAAAATATAATGAAAAATGTTTGCCTCTCACCCGCCGCAGAGTTTCCTTTAAAAAAGGATGGATGAAAAGGTAAGTTGTAAAAATGTAACATATATAACAATTTTAGGGAATTGTTTTAATGAATTTTAATAAAAGGAATTTTTAAACACATCAATTAAAATATTACACATTTATGTAATTTCACTTTTATGAAATTCTACACGGAAAAAAATGCTGCTGCTTCGATTAAAGTCTACGTCACAGGCTTACCTCAGGAGGATTTTAACTCACTCTTTTTTCTTAATTTCATGTCCTACAATTTTTATTTTATAATACTTTTTGATAAATCTAATAACTTTAGTGTTGTTTTAAGTTTTTTGGTGAAAATTATTTGTTTCATTTTTAGCGATTTTCTTCAAAACGAAGCAAAAACGAGCAAATCCCTAAAGGACTTTTTGTCTTAGTTTATCGGTCCCCTACACGCTCCTAAAGTTTTGACATTTAAATTGGGGACACCCTGTATATTTATATTTGTTCGCTCTTTAAATTGGTTTAAACCTAGTCCCGGTCACATTGCGTCTACTGTGCACGTGTTACACATAGTTTCGGTCTTTTATGTTTGATCTTTAAATTTATACACATGCGTTTTATTATTTATTAATTTTAAATGTTTGACAATTGTGACAATGCGACATTCAGCAATGTTTCGGATTAGTCTATCTCTATGTAAGTCTTTACTTTTAAATGTCTCTGTTAGACGTGTGTCTCTATTTAAAAATTTTTTATTGTTCAGATATGCATGATCCTTTTCACGATATACGTTATGGAGATAGTGTCTTGATTATGGTCCGGATTTGCATCTCTACTGTTTGTGAGCAATGGAGAGACAGCTTGCGGATGACGTATACTCAGTTTAATTCTTATCTTTTTGACTTCCGTTTAATTTTAACATAATTGACATGCCCTGTGTTTTACTGCATGTTTACACTTATTTAAAGCGTTTCCGTGCGTTATAGACCGTCATGATAGTTAGACCGTTTTGATAGTTCTTATTTATTTATATTTTCGCGCTGAGAAGGGTCCAAAAAAGAGACCGAAACGTTCGCGAATGGTTTTGTAAAATTAATAAACAAATTTTGCACTTTTTCACCGTGCTGGTTCCTTTGCCTATTTTGTCTTTACTTATATTTTCCATTTGGAACCTTTATTATTTATATTATTTCAGTTATATAAGACAAAAATTAATTACAATATTTAAAAAATACCTTAAATCATATACATTTTAAAAATATAAACAAACGTATATTTGTGTTAATGTATATCTGCATATACCTACACTTTTATAGTAGAATAATTATGTGTGTGCGTGCGTATGTGTTCGTGCCCACGCGCGAGTATATGCATCGTGTGTATACATGTGTGTCCGTATGCGCATCACAAATTCTATTTTTACACAAGTTGCAAACATTTTATTATTTATTTAATTGAAGCATAAGAGATACGTATATTAAATTTTTGTATATATTAAGTTTTGCAATCAAGACTCGAAAGTTATCATTTCTTAATGCTGACTTCTTTAAATTATGTATTGATTAATAGCTGAGCCTAGTAGATGCTATGCTATTGCTGGCTGCAGTACTCTCGTAGTAATACTACTATTCGATTGCTTTCTTTCACTATTCGGTTCTCGACTACTGATAATTATTGATGCAATAATTACATTTAATATTGGACTTCCGTTTCCGGTGGGTTAGAATGCGTGTGACAGAAAGCGTGGTTAGTGAAAGGAGAGAGGAAGAGAGGAAACGGAGAACAGAGAGAGAAAATGGAAGGTGCTAGTGAAGAGAGCGGAGTGAGGTGTGTGTGGAGAAGTAAAGGTGGAGGAGGTGGTGAAAAGAGATAGAAGTAGGAAGGAGAAGAAAAGGCAGACGAGTTAGAGGTTAGGGGCAGAGAGAGAAAAGGAAGGAAAATCACGTGGTAGGCGACGGAAAGGAACAGGGAGTATAGAATAGGTAGAGCGGCGAGCGAACAGATAGGAACGGAGAGTAGGAGAGGAGTAGGAAAACAGATAGAGAGGAGACTCGATAGGTAGAAATGGAAAGTGAGAAAAGAATAGGAGTAGATAGAGAGACGGTAGAACAGGAAAAGGAAAGAACGGATAAAGGGATATTAGAGGAAAAGGAAAGGGGCATAAAAACGGGGAAAGAGGGAAGTAAGAGGGCGGAGAGGCGGGGAAGTACAGGAAATATAAAGGAAATGTGGGAAAGGAAAAGGGAATTGATAGAAGGACTAGGAGGGGGAAAGGAGGAAAAAAAATGGGGGTAATTAAGAAAGGGAAAAAAGAACAGAAATTACAACAGATAGGATTGGAAGAGAGGGAGGGAGGAGAGGTGAGTTGGTGGAAGGAAATGAAAAAAGAATGGAAAAAGGAAATGAAGGAAGGGATCCAGGAAGTGAAGGAGATGCTGAAGGAAGAGCTTAGGAGATATATATGAAAAATGAGAGAGGAGGTGGGAAAGATGATAAATAGGCAGATGGAAGAAAGGGAAGAGAAGTGGAGGGAAGAGAGGGAGAAAATAAGAAAAAGGATGGAGGAACTAGAGGAAGGACTGAGAGGAATGAAACTAAGGGAGGAAGAGAAAGGGATAAGGGGAGGGGAAAAATGGATGGGATAATGAAAGACATCACAAATTTTAATAATCGCAGGCTAGTAAGAGCCAGAACGCGGATGGCAGTGCGTCAGTTTCATAGAAAAATAAGTTTTCTATGAAACTGAATATGTGCACAGGGCACGAAATTTACTTGATGTTTTTTTATTTTACCAAGATTTTAAAATTAATCTCAATTCGAGATTTACAATAATCCCTCTTTACCCCCCTGGAGAGACGAAGGCGAGAAAAATATCGGGGCGAAGTCGCTGAATCGAGAATCGAACCCGAGTCTTTCGCTTGCCGGGCGACTGCTCTTACCTCTGAGCTATTCAGACCCCACACCACCGATACTTCTCATTTGCCTTATAATATCTATTACTATTAACGCCATCTTTCAGCCGGCGTGAACTAACAAATTTAAGAAATTAGGCTCTGGAGTGACATCACAAATTTTAACAATCGCGGGCTAGTAAGAAATGAAAGAGATGGAAAAGTGGAGGGAAATGAAGGAAAGGGAGGAGAGAAGGAGGAATATGGTGATAAGAGGAGTGAAAGGAGGGGAGAAAGGTGTAAAGAAGAGAATAAGGGAAATAATAAGAGAATAAGGGGTGGAAGGGAAAGTAGAGGAAGTGAGAAATATAGGAGGGAGGAAAGAGGGGGAGAAGGGGATGACGATAATAACGGTAAGTAAAATACAGGAGAAGATAGAAATAATGAAAAAGAGGAGAGAAGTAAAGGATAAAGAAGTAAGGATAGAAAATGATTTAACTTGAAAGGAGCGAAGAATGAGGTGGGAGCTAGAGGACATAGCGAGGAGAGAAAGAGAGGAAGAAGAGGAAGAAAGTATGGGTGGGATATGGGAAGATACACATAGAGGGAAAATGGTGGAGATGGGATGAACAAGAGGAGAAATTAAAGGATGGAGAGGGAAGAATATGGATAGAAAGGAGAGAAGGACAGGAGATGATGGGAAGGGAAGAAAGGTAAAGAGAGGGAGAAGGGAAAGGGAAGCACCGGGGGGAAGATGGAAAATAGCGTTTTGGAATGTAGCGGGGATAGGGAATAAGGACAGGGATTTTTGGCAGAGGATAAAGGAGTGGGAGATTGTGATATTAATGGAAACGTGGGTGGAGGAGAAATACTGGCGAAGGATAAAGGAGAGGCTACCAAAGAAGTTTAAATGGAAGATACAGATGGCGAAAAGGAGAAATAGGAAGGGAAGAACAAGGGGGGAATGTTAATAGGGGTGAAGAAGGATATAAGGATAGAGAAAGGGGAGGAGGGAGAGGAGGAAGAAGGAAGAATAGTATGTAGGAATAGAATGGGAGGGAAGAAATGGAGAATAGTAGGAATATATGTGAATGGGGACATGGAAAGGAAGTTAGAAGAGTTAAAGGGATGGATAGAAGAAAAGGAAGAGGGTATAAAGACGGTAATAGGGGGAGACTTCAATGCAAGGACGAGGGAAGAAGGGGGGTGGATAAGAGAAGAGGGATAGAAGGGGGCAGAAAGAGGAAGAAGGTCAAAGGACAAGAAAGTGAATGGGGAAGGAAGGAGGCTAGTGGATTGCATGGAAAGGAGAGGATAGTCGATCTTGAATGGAAGTGTGAGAGGAAACGAAGAGGGAGAGTATACATTCACAGGAGAAAAAGGGGAAACAGTCATAGATTATGTAATAGGGGATGAGGAGGTAAGAGAGAACGTGGAGAAATCACAAATAGGGGAGGAGGTAGATTCGGACCACCATCCTGTGATTGTGTGGATGGGAGGGGAGATGAAAGAAGGGGAGGGAGAGACAGGAAGGAGGAAAGATAATGAGAAGAGGGGTATGGGATGAAGAAGGAAGAGAGGATTTTTAAAAAAAGTTAGGGAGAGTGGGGGAGGGAGAGAGAGGGGTACAAGAGGAAATGAAGGAGATGACGGAGAGGATAAGGAAAACATTAAATGAATGTGAGAAGAAAGAGGGAAAAGAAACGGGAAATAGAAAGGGCTGGTGGGATGAGGAGTGCAGGGAAAAGGAAAAAGGAGTAAGAAGGGAACTAAAAAGATGGAGAAGGGCGGGAGGGAAAGGAGAGAAATATAGAGAAAGAAAAAGGGAATACAAAGAAAGGTGTGAGAAAAAGAAGAGGGAGGATAGAGAGAAAATGGAAAGGGAGGCAGGGGAAGCGAAGACGGAGGGAAAAGTATGGGAGTTGGTGAGAAAGGAAAGGAGAAGAAGAAAGAGGGTTAATGAGGAAATAAAAATGGAAGAGTGGAAGGAACATTTTATGGGGTTGTTAGGGGGAGTAGAAGGGAAAGTGGTGAGAGGAGGGAGGAAAAGAGGGGAAGAACAGGGAGAAAGGGATCTGGAAAGGGAGGAAGTGAAGAGGGTGATAACAGGGCTGAAGAACGGAAAGGCGATTGGAAAGGACGGGATACCGAATGAAGTGTGGAAGTATGGAGGGGAGGAAATGGAAAAATGGACATGGGAGGTATGCAGGAGGGTATGGAGGGGAGAGGGATGGCCAGAGGAATGGAAAGAGGGATTAATAGTGCCCATAGTAAAGAAAGGAGTGGGTGAGGAAGTTATACTTATAGAGACTATAAAGGAGTGACCCTGATGCCGTCGCTGTATAAGATATATACGGTGGCATTAGGGGAAAGGTTGAGACAGGAGGTGGAAGGGAGGGAGCTACTATCGGAGAGTCAAGCGGGGTTTAGGAGAGAGAGAGGAACAATAGATCAGGTGTATGCGTTGAACTATTTAGTGAATAGACAGTTGGGAAGGAAAGGTGGGAAATTGACAGCGGTATTTGTGGACTTGAAAGCAGCGTTTGACTCGGTGGACAGGGAGATTTTGATGAAGGCGACGAGAGAAAGGGGAGTGAGAGAGGGCCTGGTGGTGAGAGTGGAGGAGATAATGAGGGAGACAAGGAGCAGGGTAAGAGTAGGGGGCGAATAGGAGAGGAGTTCTGGACGGCGAAAGGAATGAGACAGGGATGTCCACTGAGTCAAACGCTGTTTAACATTTTGATGGCGGACTTGGAAGAAGAGATGGCAAGAGGTTGTTGGGTGGGAGTGAGATTGGGGGAAGGGAAAGTATTTACTAGCATATGCGGATGATGTAGTGTTGATGGCGGAAGAGGAGCAGGACATGAGAGCGACGTTGAGTAGATTGGATAGGTATTTAACAAGGAAAGGACTAGAATTAAATGCGGAAAAGACAAAGGTAATAAGGTTTAGGAAGGGAGGGGGTAGGAGTAAAAAGGTAGATTGGAGATGGAAAGGAAAAAAGATAGAGGAAGTAAAAGAGTTTAGATATTTAAGATATACCATACAGAGGAACGGAGGGCAAGAAGCACATGTGAGAGAAAGAGGAAGAAGGGCAGCAACGGTGATGAGGGAAGTATGGGGAATAGGAAAGAGACTATGGGGGAAGGACTGGGAAAGGAGAATGTGGCTATACGACACGCTAGTATGGACAGTAATGGGATATGGGGCGGAGATTTGGGGATGGAGGGAGAGAAGGGAGATAGAGGGAATATATGACAGGTATATAAAATGGACAATGAGACTGGACTGGAGAACATCAGGATATATGATAAGGGAGGAAGTGAGAAGAGGATTGATGTGAGGGAAAGCAGGAAGAAGGGTATGGAATTTTGAAAGGAGATTAGAGGAAGGAAAAGGGGGGAAGTAGCAAGGAAATGCTGGGAAGAGATGAAGGAAAAATGGGGAAGAGGGAGAGTGATAGGGAGCTGGGAACAAGAAAAGAAGGAATTCTTGAGAGAAAGAGGAGTACAGGAAGGGAAAGGGGAAAGAATAGGATATGATGAGCTGGAGAAAATGGATACGAAGAGGCAAGATGAGGAAAGGGAGAAGAAAATAAGTGAGTCAAAATATAATAAAGGGTACAGGGAAATAAAAGGAGAGGGAATTCCAGAGTATTTGAAGAAAGGATGGGCGGAGAAAAGGTGGAGAAGGGTTATGAGATTCAGAGTGGGAAACGAAATGAGGGAAGGATTATATTGGGAGGGGGAAGAAAAGAAAAGATGTAGGGTATTTGGTAATGACGAGGAGACGTGGGAACATGTATGGGAAAGGTGTGTGAGAAGGGAAAAAAAGAGGGGACTAGTTGGCAGGAAACAAAGGGGAGGATACTAGGAGGAGAAGGGGAGGGAGAGGAATGGATGAAGAAGATAGAGGAAACGAGAAAAAGAGAGGGAGGGAGGGAGAGAGAGAGAGAGAGGGAGGGAGAGAGAGAAAGGGAGAGAGGGAGAGAGAGGGAGAGAGAATGGAAAAAGAACAGCGGAAACGGAGGTCCAAAATAGGCTAAGTTAGATTAAATTAAGTTAAGTACGCGGAGTTAGGATGTAAGTTGGATAGGATAAGTAAAGTATACAAGTTGAAGGACAAGAGCGAAAAGAGGGATAGAAAGCGTGTGTGTATGTGTGTACAAAGCGTTAAATATAAGAACGTAAAGAAGGATGTTTATATGGAAGAAGAATTGTAACCCCATAGGGGAACAATAAAGAATTTCAATTAATTAATCAATTACATTTAATATTAGTAGTATACAAAAGGGTACGTTCTGGGCCGGATATTTTTCCTCCACCAAAATCAACTAAAAAACATCAAAATCACACATAAAAGCACCAAAACTTAAAAAAAAACCGGCGCTAGCGGTTAGAAAAAAAACTAAAATTACTGTTCATTATTGATGATAGCTAACACGCAAAATCAAATAATCCCTTCGATTCGAACTTATTTATTGTTATATAGTTATATTTATTTCAGAGTCATTCGTTTGGAGGTTCCCTTCATTTGCGAATGATCTTATTTGAGGGTATATCTCCATTCGTGGGTTACCCCATTCGAGGGTACCCCCATTCGAGGGTACCCCCATTCGAGGGTACCCCCATTCGAGAGTACCTCCATTTGAAAGTTTATTTCGAGGTTAATCCTTATCTCGGTGTTGACCGTCAATTAACGATCCGAATTTACACCAAATTTTGAGGGTTTTTTTGAAGGTATTTTACACCTAAAATTGAGTGTTTTTTTCGTAAGGGCAAAAGGAGACGTTTCTATATTATTATTTAAATATACTTTATCATCATAAGATGATAATGCTATTTTATTTATTTTAACAGTGTAAAGTTTCAACTCTTTTGATGTAATATTGTATATAGTTTCAGTTGTGTTTTTACCTTCAAACAAACAGTTTTTGTACATATCAAATTTCATTTTTTTTATATTTGATCTTTTTATTCCTTTACATACTTTTTTCTCTTTTATTTTTGTTATAAATTTTTTAGTATTTTTGCAAAACTTTGTTTCAGTTTCATCGTATCTAAAAGCATACATTTTAGACCGCAATCCAACCCATTCTCTTAAAGCTATCGCGAGATATTCATCTTTGAATAAACCGATTACTTTTTTATTTACTTGTGGCATCCAATCGATTTTATGACCACTCGTATCAAAGTATTGTATAAATTTTTTTATATCCAAGTAAAGATCATCTGTTTCCACATAAATAATAAATGAATCAGTATCAGTTCCTAACAATTTAGCTTTATCACCATAATTCTTCTTCAAAAAATTGTAATAAAGCTCTTATACATCAATAACTTTGATAACTCTAAAACAACAAACCCACCATATATAGGTTTATTTAATGTTATTTCTTTCTTTTTCCGATACACAAGTACAAGGGCGTCCTTCGGACTAAGCCTTTCAGGCGCTTGACCTGAATTTTTATTATCATCTATTATTTGTCTATCTTCATAATTTTTACACCTTGCAAAATTTTTATATGAATAAAACAAGTCCACTTGACATCTGTTACTTATCTGCTCCATTTGTTTTCCGTATACCGAATTATTCATGAGTTTAAAAAAGTCCTTTTCAAAATCATTTTTAGCTTCTTGTCTAAGTTTTGTGTTTAAGTCAATGTAGGACTTCAGCCATGCTTTTTGCCTAAATGATATTACTTTTTTTATATCTTTTAGGATTATTCCTTGATTAAGACATTCTTGCAACATTCGGTAATCAATTAAATAATTATTCTTTGATTTTAACGTGCACATAAGTTTAGCGCCAGTTGGTATTTTACCTATTCCCTTAGATATCATTTCTTTTTGATATTCGGATAATTCATCATAACTAGGTACATAATGTT